TTCCATGTTCCAATTATTAACAGATGTTTGCAGCTGTTTCTTCTCATCTTGAGTCATGCCACATCAGTAAATTGAAGCCCCAAAAGCTTTACTCAATCCAGACAAGTAACGTTACTTCTACTCTGAAGAGGCAGCTCTTCCCCATTTTTATTTTGAGTGCCTTCCAACCTGAGGGGCCCATTTTCCACCACGACATCAGACAATGTTTCAGGGCTATTCATAAAGTCTTCCAGTAATATATCACACAGTGTTTTCACTGCTATTCATAAGGTTTTTACTGGCTAATTCTTTGAGAAGTGGATGGCCTCTTCCTTCTTCTGAGTCTGTCTCAGCAACCACCATAGTATGACAAACTGACAGACAAGTTCATCTCTCTGAGCTGTTCCAAACAGCTCTGCTGGTGTTCCTCAGCCACTCCGAGTCCACCAGTCCGGCTCGCTTCCTTTCCATCTCCCCTCAGTCCATTCCAAACCCACCTGCCCTGCCTGCTTCCTTCCCAGCCCCTTTCAGCCAGCTTCAAACCTGTAAGCCTGGCTCACTTCCTTCCTGGCCCCCCTCAGGCCACTCCAAATCCGCCACATTGCCTCGCTTCCTTCCTGACCCCCTCAAGCCACTCAGAAACAAACAAAAAAAAATTCCTAAAGAGGTTAAAAAAAAATAAATTACACACACACACACACACACATTCACGTTATACACATATATATATAAACCAAAGATTGATTGTGGTTACCAGAGGTAGGAGGCAGGGAAAAGGTGAAGCTTTTCTTCACAGATCATTGAGTTTATGCTCATGGTGGTAAAATATTTTGTAAAAAGATAGCAATAATGGTGGCACAACATGAGAAATGTCATCAATGTCCCTCAGCTATAGTTGGGGAAGTTGGTATGTTGGCAAATGTCTTGTTATGTAGGTTTTCACCACAGTTTAGTAAAAAAATAATTATTATACACACATATATTCTGCTAAGTAAATTTGAGATTGAATTACTGAGATTTTACCGTATAACCAAACTTTGCAAATTAGAAAGTGATTGTGTATTTTACTTAAAGCAGCCAAGATTACCAAACTGAATTGCATACACTATGGTCAGCACTGCCCAGTAGAATTTTATTCGATGGAAATATTCTAACTGTGCTGTCTAATCTAGCAGTTACTGATCACATGTGATTATTAAACACCTGATATTTGTCTAGTATGAGAGGAAACTGAATTTGTAATCTAATTTACTTTTAATTAATTTAAATTTTAAATAGCCACCTATGACTACCAACTACCACAATGCGCAGATGTTTTTGCTGTTGCTGCTTTTGTTGCTGTATGCCATCAAGTTGATTCCAACTCACAGTGGCCGTATAGGACACAGCAGAACTGCCCCATATGGTTTTCAAAGCTATAATCTGTACAGAAACATACCCCTACATCCTTCTTCCCCAAACAGCTGGAAAGTTCAGACTATTAATCTTCTGGTTAGCAACTGAGCACTTAACCATTGTGCCACAAGGGCTCCTTAGAACTCCTTAACTATCGTCGTCGTCATGTGCCGTCGAGTCGGCCCCGACTCATAGTGACCCCTCCTTGGGTTTCCGAGGCAGTATCACTACGGAAGTAGGACTGCCCAACCTTCCTTCCGAGGAGTGGCTGGTGGGTTTGAACCGCCAGCCTTCTGGTTAGCAGTCAAGTGCTTTAGCCACTATGCTACCAGAGCTCTAACTATAGCCTACCATAAATTATTAGTGTTCCTAGGCAGAAAGCTCTAGTGGTGCAGAGAATTTAGCTTTTAAAAGGTCAGTGGTTCAAACCCACCAGCTACTCCTTGGGAGAAAGATGAATTAATCAAGGATTTATGGGCTTGGAAACCCTATGGAGTGGTTCTACTCTGTCCAACAGGGTTCACAATGAGTTGGAATTGACTTGATGGCAGATGTTTGGTTTGGGGTTTAGGGAGAAAGCTTAAGATGAAATAAAAAATAAAATGCAACACACTGCTGTTGAGTCAGATCCGACTCACAGAGACCCTTTCTTGAGGTTCTGAGGCGGTATCACTATGGAAGTAGATTGCCCAACCTTCCTTCGGAGGAGTGGCTCGTGGGTTTGAACTGCCAGCCTTCTGGTTAGTAGTCAAATGCCTTAGGCACTACGCTACCATTAAATAGTTACATTAAATTCTAAACAAATCAGGGCCCATATCCTTAACAAAGAAGGAATACTTGAGAAAAGAAAACAAAGTTTATAGGAAAACAGTGGTCTCAAAACATGTTCTGCAATGCAGTAAACCCAACCTATTTCCTTTCTCAGTACAATAAAGATTTTTAGGCATGAAATGCCAGGGCAAAAAATTGAAAAATTTTTTTGAGACAGACACATTTCTTCAACTGTCAACTGGTAATGTTTCCTCAGATTTCGACCCCAGACCCCAGACTAACTTTTCAGAGTAAAAAATATAATACTACTTATCATATGATTTGTGTCCCCAGAAAAATGTGTTGTCAATTTGGCAAAGCCACAATTCCTGGTATTGTGTGAATGTCCTCCATTCTGTGATCTGATATAATTATCCTCCATTTTGTGATGTACTGTAAATCTTAACCTTTATGTTAATGAGACAGGATCAATGTGGGGTGTATGCTGAGTCACTGCCTTACATGAGGGTGTGACTCATGTCACACTCTTACTTAAGTTCTTACTCAAGTCACCATCAAGTCACCACCCTTACTGAAATCACCACCCCTACTCAAGTCACACCCTTGCTGAAGTCATTGTAAGAGGTAAAAGGAAAAATAAGCAAGCAGAGAGGAGAGGGACCTTACTACTATAAAAACAGAAGAGCCAGGAGCACAGCATATTCTTTTGACCCAGGGTCCTTGCACTGAGAACCTCCTAGACTCAAGGGAAAATTGATGCCAAGAGACATGGAATCTCCAAAGAACACCAGGCCCACAGGTGGTGCAAGCAGACAATGACCTTCCTCCAAAGCTGACAGAGAGAGAAAGCCTGCCCCTAGAGTTTGTACTTTGAATTCCAAATTCTAGCCCCCTAAAACTGTGAGAATAAATTTGTTTGTTAAAGCCATCCACTTGAGGTATTTCTGTTACAGCAGCAATAGATAACTAATCTAATACCTCAGCTATAAAGAGGTTACTTTTGAAATTGTGTCAACCACCTTCCTACAATGAAATGTGAAATGTCAGTCAATGAGACAGTCAATAAATGAGGAGAAAGTGTATTTCCTTTATTCCTTATTCCAAAAGATTTCAGAAGTTTTGTGTAGTCCTTCTAAAACCTGGACCAACTTACAACAGCATATGCTCTTTACCAATCTCCATTTAACCAATAAACTAAACAGTTGTTGTTGTTGTCAGGTGCCGTCCAATTGGCTGACTCATAGCAACCCTAAGTACAACAGAATGAAACACTGCCCAGTCCTGCGCCATCCTCATAACCCGTTATACCCAAGTCCATCGTTGCAGCCACTGTGTCAATTGATCTTACTGAGAGTCTTTCCTTTTTTCCCTGACCCTCCACCTTACTAAGCATGATATCCTTCTCTAGGGAATGGAGATAAATAATACTAATTATTAAAGCATGTACCATGGCTCCCCTCAGTTGAACTACATTCTCAGAAAGTTTCAGTTGTATCTGTGCCCAAACCAACTGTTCTGGTAAATAAAAGCACATAATTTAACATTATATAAAATAGTAAGTACAAAAAGAAAAAGCTATTCTTCTCAAGAAAACAAAGTTGAATGATTAGAAAAACAAAAAAGACAAAAGACTAAAAGTAACTTATTATTAAAGCAGGGAGGGGTAAGACAATTGTAACAACTCTGGAAGGAAAAAAATCTAGAAAGATTCTAGATTTAGATGTAACAGAAATTATAAACAATTTATTACAAGTGTGCTTTATGAATACAGCTTAGGTCAGCAAACCAACCAAAGTTCTTGTCTTTCATTAAAAACAAAAACCAAAACCTCAGCAAATATATTTTTGATATGTTTTAAGTTAAATGTTTCAGAAGCAAATTTGTATTCTCTGCATTACCAAGAACTTTAAATGAACTAATTATTGTCCCTGCTTGCAACACATAAAGGGCCTTTATTCTAGTTAAGTTCTCATAAGGAACAATATTTAAAAAAAAAAACCTCACTGCCATATAGAGTTGATTCCTAATCATAGCAATCCCCTTTGGGTTTCTGAGGCAGTAAATCTTTACAGTCTAGCAGATTGTCTAGTAGATTGCCCAGTCCTCCTTCCACGGAGTGGCTGGTGGATTTGAACCGCCAGCCTTCTGGAGAGCAGTCAAATGCTTTAGGCACTATGCTACCAGAGCTCCTTAAGGAACAATATTATTTTTCAATAAAAAATTCCAAGATGTTTCCCTACTACCATTCTTGAGTAATCTGTATATTATATTTCTTAATATATTTCCATCCTTAGCTTAAAAAAAATAAATAAAGCAAAATGATACACATTAAAGCTGTATAGCATATGCTGGATCTACAGTCCAACAGGTTTTACCTAGAATATACTTCATACAAGTACTATACTGCACTGTAAAAGAGAAATTGTTTTTCAATTTAATAATAAATGTCACCTAGAAATTCCTTCACCAAACTAAAATATATACTACATTTCAAACACTTAAGAATAATCTGATTTCAAATATTTTTTAATGATAAGTGCCCAAAACACTTTAAACAGCACCATTAGGAGCTCTGGTAGCATAGTGGCTAAGACACTTGCCTGCTAACCAGACAGCTGGCGGTTCAAACCCACCAGCCCTCCTCGGAAGGAAGGTTGGGCAATCCTACTTCCGTAGTGATACTGCCTCGGAAACCCAAGGAGGGGTCGCTATGAGTCAGGTTTGACTCGACGGCACATAACAACATTATCGACATCAACAACAGCAACAAATTTCTTAAAAGTGGGAAAAGGAAGAGGAGGTAAGGAAAGAACAGCACTGCAGTCAAGCAAGAATTACCAAAGAATGTTTTTTACCTTTCGATTTTGATCATAAGTAGAATCAATGCCCAAAATGCTATTCACTTCTACATATGGATATTTCTTCTCCAGGACACTGACCACATGTTCAATTTTCACCTTTTCTCCAGTTCTTACCTTGTTATATATCTGAGGAAGGAAAAGCAGGTAACCAACTGTACTTTTAAATTCAAATTTCAAATTTTTTTATTGCAAAATATTTCTGATTATAGAGGAAAACACAGCTATTTTTCTTACATCAAGTAGGGCAAGTTAATAATTCCCCCTTTCCTTATATCTCCTTAAGATGCCTTCTTCGGTTAGAAAGGAATTAGTCTTAAAATGACCAATCAGTTGATAGTCACATTAAGCCAAAAATGAAAAAATGTATTTAAGAAAAATTTGAGTACTTATTTGTAATCCTTGAAATAAAAACTTATATCCATACTGTTTAGCAGGAAGAAATTCCAAAATCTGTATGGTATAATCCCTGTTTTCTAAAAACCAACAAAAAACAAGTAACACAAAAATTGTCTACAAATCCACAACTTAACATCTGGAAGGTGCACACCCATGTTCACTGCAGTACTATACAAAAATAGCAGAAAGATGGAAACTTAAGTGCTCATCAATGGATGAATGAATGAATAAACTATGATACATACAAACAATGGAATACTGGTTAGCAGTCAAATGCCTTGGGCACTACACCACCAGAGCTCCTAATGGAACACTAGGCAATGTTAACGAATAATGATGAATCTGCGAAACACCTCATAACATGGATGAACCTAGAGTACATTATTCTGAGCAAAATTAGTCCATCATTAAAGGATAAATATTGTATGTGATCATTACTGTAAAAAGTCAAGAAAAGAAAGAAAGAAAAATTATTTGAAGATTACCCAGGGTGAGAGGGGAAAGGAGCGTAAATCACTACCTGAACAGTAGACACATCTTTACTTGGGTGAAAAGAAAAGCAATACATAAAAAGGGGGAGGTCAGCACAAAATAATCAAAGCAAAGGAAGACAGTGGAAGGAGCACAAGAGTTAAAGGCAACAAGGGTAAATACTATCATTTACACAATCCTGCAATAACAGTAACAATAACCTACAAGTGGATATATAGATAAAAAGCACAAGGTGATCAGATGTGGTAGGGCAAATGGTAATACATTCACAAATATACACAGGTTTCACAAAGGATATTTCCACATAGTATTTATATTTGCTGCAAATATATACATGAATAAAAGAGCATACGAAGTTAGGAAAAGAGTATAGGCAAAGTTCGGAAAACTTTTTAGCTATAACCAAACAACTTGAGGGAATAATAGGTTGCTGGGCTTGTAGGCACCGTACCATAGTCTTGGGGAGCATCAAGTTCAACTGGCATGGCATAGTCCACAAAGACAATGTTCTACATCCTACTTTGGTGAGCAGTGACTCACCACAGTGGGGTCTTAAAAGCTTGTGAGTGGCCATTCTAAGATTCCACTACTGGTCTCTCCATATCTGGAGCAAAGTTGAGTGAAGACAACCAAAGACACAAGAAACCAATTCATCAAAATGACTAATAGTTCACACAAACACCAGCCTCCACAATCTTAAGATCAGAAGAATTAGAGGGTGCCCAGCTACTCTCTAAAAAGGATCACAATAGGAAGTCCTGGATAGAGTGGGAGAAAAATGTAGAACAAAACTCAAAATCATGAAAAAAAAAAGACCAAGCTTACTCATCTTACAGAGACTAGTGGAACCCCTGAGATTATGGCCTTTAGATATCCTTCAAGCCTGCAACTAAATTGACCTCTGTGGCTCAACTTTCAGTCAAAAACAGACAGGCCTATAAAGTGAAAAGTGATACCAGAAAGAACATGTATTCATTAGAACAATCAAGATGGCAGCATTACCCAGGGATAGAGCAAGGAGGTAAGAGGGGATGGGAAAGAAGGATGAAGGAAGTGGTGGGTGCAGGGAGAAAGAAGAGTGCTGCTGCATTATGGGGATTGCAATGAATGTCACAAAACAGAATGTGTGTGGATTGTTCAATGGAAAACCAATTTGCTCTGTATACTTTTACCCAAATCACAATAAAAAAAATTTTTTTAAAATAATATAGAATGTGAATTGCACTTCTTAAAAAAAAAATTTACATATAAAGTTGCTTATATTCAAAACGGAAAACAAGTAAAAAATCAAACAGAGCCCTTCATTTGAACTTGAACGAGTAAATACTTTATATGCACATGGGTATTAAAGTATTTCAGAGTTTACAGAAAAAATGGAGAAACTAGACTAACTCTCAGTAAGAATTTTCTGCCTTGATATCAAACTGAACCCTAATTACAAAAAATCATATAACAGTCTCAACACATTTTCTTTAAAAAATATAGAAAATCACTGTATTCATCATATTGCATCAACTAGTGATTTCAAATTACCAAAATGTAGAGGGCTAAGATACTAAAAAGCCTTATTAGGGCTCCTAAGAAATCTCACCCTAGCCAAAATCACAGCAATCTAATATTAATGTCAGTGAGTCAATACAGTAAAGATGCCATAAAATACAAAACACATAATAAAGTTTGTATAAATTTACCTTATTTTTCTCATTACAGAAATACAGATTCCTCTTACCATAGATTGTTTTTTTAGTGTAAATCAGACTCAAAAACTCTTTTGCCATTTTAAAGGAAGACATACATGTATCAGGGTTTGGAAGGCATGATAATCATCCAGGTCTTGGGCAACATAATTATATGCTCGAAGAACAGCCACTCCAGCATCCTGCATCCCATCAACATCTTCAGAGTCATTAACCACAAAGATTAAGCCAATTCTGAGTGGAGGGTTGGAGGGGGAGAGAAGAACATGAAACTTTTTTCAAAGAATGGAAGAATATAACCTGTTAAAAGGAATGGTATTCACATACCCATCCAGATAATGTAGCTAACAGAGAAAAACCATCCCTAGTGGAAAGCAAAGTTCACATATACACTAGCATGGCTGGCAAAGATATGTGTCACTTACAAAATGAAAAAGCAGGCTCTTATATGTAATGTTAAAGCTGTAACCAAATTATGAAAAGATTCCTTCACTGGCAGGAGTAACACAGCCATAGTTGTTAGTTGCAATGGTTTGCTCTGTTTTTAAACAAGGATTATTATGCAATGTTCTTGAGGAAATGAGAATTTGCAGAAGATAAAAATACACAGAAAAGGGATTATTTTGAAATTCTATGCTGGCAGGTGAGAAATTCTAAGAAAATGGAAATGAGAAAAAGAATTAGTATTATCCTTTAGTAAAAAGCTACAATCATAAAATTTATTAAATTTTAAGATTTTAAAAAATAAAGGACTAAACCATAATGAGATACCATTAAGTATTTACAAAGTGGCAATATAGTGGCCACTGGTCACATATTTATTGCACCACTGAAAGAAAGATACTCTGAATTGAGAAAATCAATTAATAACACAATAGATTTTGAAAGGGCTAATCCAAAAAAAAAAAAGTAAAATAGACATACCCATTTTATTATGCCTAGCAAATATTGTATATTTTACAAATTTAAGTTCTCTGGCAATCAGTGTCAACCAAGTCATCAGTGCCATTTTTCCAACAGTATGTGCTCACTTAATATCTCTATGTCACATTTGGGTAATTCTCACAATACTCCAACCTTTTTCATAATGCTACTGCACAATTAATAATTGACAGTAAAGTGTGAATAAAACTTTTATATGCACTCAAACTCAAACCAAGCTCACTGCCACTGAGTTGATTCTGACTCACAGTGACCCCCATTGGGTTTCCAAGGTGACAAATATTTACAGAAATAAGTTGCCTATCTTCCTTCCACAGAGTGGCTAGTGGGTTTGAACTGCCAACCTCCTGGTTAGCAGCCAATCCTTTAGGCACTTTGCCACCAGACCTATATGCACTAAGAAACAAAAAAAATCAGTGATAATCACTTTATCGCAATATTCGCTTTATTGCAGTGATCTGAAACCAAACCTGCAATTTCTCTGACTTATGTTTCTATCTCATGAATAATTCTATACTGACTTTTTATATTGATTAACATTGAAATAAAAACATTATAAAATTAATTTCTCATGTTTCTTTCAACTTTCATAATATGGTCACAAGAAAATCCTAAATAACATGGCTCATATTTTAATGTACGGTTTATACCTCGATATAAAGAAAACAAAAATCCTCACAACTGGACCAATAAGCAGCATCATGACAAATGGAGAAAAGACTGAAGTTGTTAAAGATTTCATATTACTTAGTTCTACAATCAACACCAATGGAAGCAACAGTCAAGATATCAGACAATGTATAGCACTGGGTAAATCTGCTGCAAAAAACCTTTCAAGTCTGAAGAGCGAAGATGTCTTCTTGAAGACTAAGGTGTGCCTGACGCAAGCCATGGTATTTTCAATCACCTCATATGAATATGGGAGACGGATAATGAATAAGGAAGAATGAAGAAGAGTCGATGCTTTTGAGTTGTGGTGTTGGCAAAGAATACTGAAAGTACCTGCTAAAAGAACTAACAAATCTGTCCTGGAAGAAGTGCAGCCGGAATGCTCCTTGGAAATGAGAATGGCCAGACTTCGTCTGACCTACTTGGGTCATGTTGTCAGAAGGGACCATTCCCTGGAGAAAGATACCATACTTGGTAAAGTGGAGGGTCAACGAAAAAGGGGAAGTCCTCAACAAGATAGCTTGACACAGTGGCTACAACGATGGGCTCAGATATAGGAAGGATCATGGGGCTGGCACAGGACTGGACAATGTTTTGTTCTGCTGTACATAGGGTTGGTATGAGTTGGAGATGACTTGATGGCACCTAACAACAACAACAACATATTTTAATTTACTGAATAGCACTGAGTTAGACAACATCAAATGCTGATGAAAATCTGGAGTACTAGAACTCACAAACACTGCTACTCAATGTATAAAGTGGACCACTACTTTGGGAAAAAATTTGACCAGTTATCCCATTCCTAGTTATTTACCCAAGCTTGCATATATGCCTCAGAAGATGAAACAGAAAGAATATTTACAGCAGCAGTGCTGACAGGAATCAAAAACTAGGGACGGGGGATGTACAACTGAATGGAAAAAAATATGAAATATTCTTAAAACAAACTACTTTGCAGTAATAAAAATGAACCAACAAAACTGTGTATTCATCAACATGGAAGAATCTCATAAACATAAAACTGAGTGAAAGACACACAAAAAAATACACTTATCAACTATCTCATCCAATATTTTGCATTTATGACAACAGAAAAGAAATCTACTATTTGACTATTTTGCATATTAATGACATACTTCTGGCAATAATGAATGGCAAGAGTAACACTGGCTTGATGGTTAAAGGTCATATGTCAACTTAGTTTGGCCATGATTCTCAGTAGTTTGGCAGTTATGAAATGTAATGTAATGATGTAATTGGGCACTTATGTAATTATGCAGTCATTCTTAATCATGTGATCTGAAATGGTTGGTCATCTTCCATTTTCGCTTAACTCCGATTTTCAGGTAACAACTTAGTGTTTGGAACCTAACCATGTCGGTAAGTGAGGAGCAGGTGTTTAGAGGCTGATTCCATATATTTGAAGCTCAAAACCAGGTAAACTAAACCACAACAGTGCGCACAGGTAGGAAAGCTAAGAAACGCAAAGAATTATCACAAAAATCAAGGCAGTACTTATCTTGTATAAGGAGGCAGTCAAAAAAGGCAACAGGTAAGGTCTGCTAGGCTCTGAAATGTTCTACATTAACCTCTGTGGTAGTTACATAAGTATCTTCTAAGTTTTTAAATATTTTAAATAAAACATTTGTTTTCTATACTCATCTTTATCTATGATATATTTCAAAACACTTCTAAAAGTTCAGAGGAAATAAGTTTATATAAATGAGGAAGTAAGTATTCTGCAGAAGAAACACAGATCATACATCCAACAAATATAATAAAATAATCACAAAATACAGTTAAAAAAAAAGTTGCCAGGATATCTGCTTTGAAAGAAATTTAATAACTTAAATTTTAAAATGTCAATAATAGTGCCTTGAGTTCTTGTTTTTAACTTTTTAGGGCTTGAAAATCTCCAGAAAACTGTGAGGTAGGGAAGCTAGGTTCTGTTAACATATTTGTCAGATGAGGAAATGAGGTTCAGAAAAGTTAACTTTCCTAAGATCATACCTGTTGTTAACCACACTACCTTAACTGACAACCTCAAAACTTTTTGCTCTTTCACTACATGGTATCATTGTTCCCTGAGGACAGAACAGAAATTCAGGAAATATCTACCTTGCAATGCTAACTAATGTCTGGGTCTTTATATGAAAAACAATGGAATGGTATACAGGTATCCCGTCACTTCACTTTTACAAAAAACCTACATGAGTACCTGTTTTTTAGCTAACTGAAAGAAATCTGAAGAGGATTTTTGCTTTTATGAAAAAAAGCAAAAGAACCATTCAGCATTTTCCTTTTTTGTAGTGAGTGATTAAAGAGGCAGCACACACCCCAAGCAGCAAGAGTGGTGTCACCAAGCTCCTTTCCTGGGAACTACACTATACATCCATTATTCCAGTTTATATAACCTGTATATATATTGATCATTTCTGTTTTTACTACATGTTAATGTTATTTTAAGTTTTATAACTTATTTTGTATGATTTGGTAGGTTACTTTTTGGGTCTAGGAACACTCAAAAATTTTTCCCATATAAATTAATGGTAATAAAATTAATAATGGTTCTTTGCTTTACAACATTTTGGCTTAAAAGGTTTCATAGGAACACTCTACTTTCAGATATTGGGGAAAACCTGTGTATGTGTAAGTAATCTGTTCACCAAACAGCTTACTGTGGAATATGCCTTTTCTGAAAAATGACCAAATACTTAAAAAAGATACTCATGTGACTCAAAACTTCTGTCTTGTTTTGGGTTCTAATGCTATCTGTAAATAGCATAATCAAGTGTGATTTTTCTAATAACAAACTATATAGTTTTTTGTTCATTATGCCAGACACTGTAATTCTTTCTGATTGACATTAGTACCCAAACTTTTCTAAAAAAAAACTTCGAAAAATATTAATAAAGTAGAGCCATATCATACTTACTTGATTTTAACTATATGTACTCAAAATTTTTTATAAAAGGGGGAGGAGTGGGTAAAGGGAAAGAAAGAGAAAAGGAGAAATAGTTTAAACAGGAGTAACAGAGGTAAACAGATGCATGCTATGAGAATTGGCTCTGCTTAGTCTTAGTTCCTGAGGATGTCTTATGGCATGAATATCTCATCTAACTCAATATGGCTAGATGTACGCTTTTTGTGCATCTGTTATGTTTTTTCACAACATGGCTCCTAAACACAAATCTAATAAACCTACTCCTCACTTACTATCTCAACATCAGACATTTCACATTTATGGCAAGAGTGAAAAATCTACTATCCAACTATTTTGTGCATTAATAACATGCTTCTGTTTAAGTATGAACACCAGATGAGAGGCAAGAGTAACACTGGCTGTGATGGCTAAGGTTATGTGCCAATGTGGTTGGGTCATAATTCTCAGTGGTTTGGCAGTTATTATCCACCATTTTCACATAATGACATGGACTTTGGAACCTAACAATGTCGATAAGAGAGGAGAGGGTATACTTTATCTGACATTCAAATAAATCAAAGACAATCTGAGGAAGTAATATATAAATAAAGGTATACACAATTTATGGAGGATTTAAGAGATTTTCAAGAGTAATTTTTTGTTTAGGGGGGGTGCTTTTGTTTTTGCAATATGTTTAATTGAGATATAATTCACATACCATAAAATTCATCCTTTTGGAGTACGTAATTCAGAGGTATTTAAAACCTTTACAAGGTTATACGACCATCACCACTATTTAATTCTCAGAATATTTTCATGACCCTAAAAAGAAACTCTATACTCGTTAACAACTACTTCCCATTCTCCCTATCCTCAGCCCCTGGCAACCATTAATCTGTGTTCTTTTCCTACTGATTATCATATAAATGGAATCAAGGTCCATCCATATTGTAGCATGTTCATTAGTTTTTAAGGAAAGATAATAGTATTCCATTGTACTGATATACCATCTCTGTTTACTTTATGGACATTTACATTGTTTTCACTTTGAGACCATTACCTAAATAATGCTATGAACATTCATGTGCCAGTTTTTGCGTGAACATATGCTGAGTAGATCAGATTTTTAATTTCTGTTTTGACCAAAACCCCTATAAATATGACTCCACACCAGAGCTGGCTCCAAATCCTACTAAAAGTATTTTAAACCGAACTATAATACCAAACAAGATATAAATGTTACTTCTTTAGGTAACTTTTGGTAGTGTAGTGCCTGAGGCATTTGACTGCTAACCAGAAGGAAGACTGGGCAATCTACTTCCATAGAGATACCACCTTGGAAACCCAAGGAGGGGTCACTATGAGTTAGACTCAACTCAATGGAAGTGAGTTTGAGTTTGTTTATATTTAGATAATCCAGATTATAGAGTAGCACATGAATATTCTTGCATCTGCAATAACCATGAAGAAGATGAAATCAAACTGAGATGCATTTTTCTTCTCCAATCTTTTGACAGAATCACTAAAATATGGGCATTAGGAGTCCAAAGATAAAACCTACATTGTAAACTTTCAGTAGAAAATATGAAATCTATGCTGCAACAGAATCAAATCCACAAAGAAGCTTAGAAATAAAACATACTGCAAAATAGTAGCAATATTCTGAACAAAAATTATGTGACACTGATAAAATATATTTTTTATAAATATGAGAAATATATATATATAAATATTTGTTAGTTGCCATCAAGTCAGCTCCAACTAATGACAAGCTCATGTATAACAGAATGAAATAATGCCCAATCCTCTGCCATCTTCATGACTGTAAGTATGTTTGAGTCAATCCATTTCACTTAGGGTGTCCTTCATTTTCACTGGCCCTCACTTTACCAAACATGATGTCCTTTTCTAACGATAGGTAATTCTTGATGATATGTCCAAAGTAAGCTAGTCAGTGTCTCACCATCCTCATTTCTAAGGAACATGCTCCTTCAAAACGAGGGTTTGTGTGTATGTTAAATAGGTTAGTCTTTAAAAAAATACAAAAAGAAAATATAACCAGATGTAGATAAAACACTAAACTGTTAATACCATTTAGCTCCTAGCGGGGTGGAGGTGGGGCAACAGTGATACGGGGATGGAAGTGAGAGAAGGTTTATTTTTACATGAGAATTGTTTGTTAAAATCCCAACTATGATGGAAATCATCGATAGGTTCCAGGCACAAATGATCTAAACATTACTCTTACGAGAAAGCATGTAACATCGAAAAGATAAACTCCTCCCCCTCAGAAACCCAAGGAGGGGTCGCTATGAGTTGCAATCGACTTAATGGCAGTTAGTTTGGTGTTTTCTTTTTGGTTACAACCTAATTATCTCCTCATAAACTAATTCCTCTTCCTAAGTTTCCAAATGTTTAAGTTTCCAATTAATAGAAACAGCATCACAGGTTTTCTGTTTCCAAATTCAGAAACTTCAGACTTCTTCTGTCACTCACGGATCCAGACACTCCCATAAGTTTCTTCTCACTTCTCCAGTCAACCTTAGCACATTACCACATGAGCTCAAATGTAAGAAAATAACAAACTATCTGCCTTGGGTCTCTGCACCAACTCTTCACAAAACGTCTCTCTCTTACCAATAACCTTTTGCTTCCCTGGAATCCTAAAGGACTTCTAACTAATAGCACATAACCTGGCACCTGACCAAATATCTTCTTAAACTGCTGAGAGTATACAGAGTAGTTTATCCCAGAAGGTTGAAATGTATCCTATGTGTTGCTTATAACATATAGCTCAGTGCTAGGCATGGAATACATAATAATATCCATTAGCCAAGTAATATTTTATTTTCACATTTTTCTAAAAACTCAAATTTCATCAACATATGAAATTACCAGACATGTTATTCAGATAATAAGTAAAAATATCGTAATTTTTCTATGTAAAATCTTTAAAAAAAAAAAGTTCCTTGAAAAGTACAGTGGAAACTAAGCTACTCAAGTCCCCTGTTGGTAGATCTGGGAATACAAAATGAAATATATGTTGTTGTTTATAAAAAGCTTTATGTACATTTAGTCCTTGATTGTCTAAAAAAAGTTAACAGCAAAGCTCTTTATCTCCAATGAAAGTTAAAATATGCTTTGTGATGTGGATTCTCACCTACGAAAATTTCTTTTCATTTGCAAGTAAGCTGACAACACAAATTATTTTTACATGAGCTATTTATTAATAAATCAATGGTAGTAGGGCTCTATTCATAAAGAATCAAATTCTCTACACCAAAAGATACTGGCTTCTGGTTTAGTAGATAATAAAACTGCCATTAATTACCTAACCTGTTAATTATCTCACAATTTAGTAGCTAACCAGACTTGTACATAATCAAACCTCACCTAAATTAGAGACATCATCAAATCAGTAAGTATTACCTTAGTGGTATATGATTACTGAGGAACATTTCAGCTGTGTTAATCAATTCTGCTGTGATGTCATGAGCAGGATCAAATATAAAAACCTGTGAAGGAAAACAGAAAAGAATAGATGAAATGACATTTATTTAAAAGTCACTAGGCCAATAAAAATGCTTAGTTTTTGTTACTCTAAAGCAAATTTTTTCCAGATACTCTTGAATAACATAAAAGAGGAGTTACACAAATTACAAGTATCCTCCCTTTCATGGGCACTGGAAAGGCTAAGTGATTTTCTCATGGCCTTATAATGATATACTAAAAAGAGTATTCTAGATTGCTAATACCTGCTCTCTACTACACCTAACAAAAACCAAGTGTCATAAACCCTACCACCTTAGAGAACAGAGATTATCCCTCTGTATATTCATTTCCTAAAGAATCTCTGAATTAAGAATTCACTTAGAACCAAGTAATAATAGCTTTTATTTACAAACCACATAATATGTGCTAAACAATTTACACATGTTATCTAATAAAGTACAGATAGAAAGAGATTGAAATGAGAAAAGTACAGAGGATAGAGTTTCCTCTGCATATTCTGAGGAAGCAGACCTTGGTACTATCTCATCACCTATCTCTTTAGTAGCTATCCGAGGAAAGAGAAAGAAATAAGAGGGAAATATAACACAAAGCATGAGAATGAAGAACCCTCTTCTCTCTCTCTCTGTTTAGCAGTAAAATAATTATCAAGGAAAAGTTGACAAAATGCTACTTAACTAAACCATCTGCTGTCAAGTCAATTCCAACCAACGTTAATCCCATGTGTGTTACAGCAATACTGTGCTCCCTAAAGTTTTTATATATATATATATATTTTTTATTTTTGTTGTTGTTCAGAATGTATGCAATAGAACATACACCAATTCAACAATTTCTATAACACAGTGACATTACATTCTTCAAGTTGTACAACGACTTTCACCCTCCTTTTCGAAATTGTTCCTCCTCAACACAAACACACTGTCCCCTAAGTTTCCTATCTGATCTTTTAGGTTGCTGTTGTCAATTTGATCCCATATAGAGAGATCTTAAAAGACCATAATATTCAAAGCAGACATTCTTAACTAGTTAAACTATTGTTCAGTCTTAAGAAGATGTCAGGGGTTATTTTTGGTTTAAAGTTTAAATATTATCTCAAGGCAGAATTTCAGTAGTTCATCTAGCCTCTTCGACTCCAGAAATCCGGACTACTTAAGAATGTGAAATTCTCTTCTGCGTTTTCCCTTTCTTGATAAAAATGTTGGAAGAATCTTTGATCAAAATGTTCAGTAATGGTAAGTGGGCACCATCCACTACTTCCATTCTCATGGTAAAAGAAGGAGTTGTTCATGGAGGCAATTAGCCACACATTCCACTTCTTCCTCTTTCTCCTGGCTCTCCTTCTTCCTCTGTTGCTCCAGGTAAAAACAGACCAACTGTGCCTTTGATGGTCATTTGCAAGCTTTCAAGACTGCAGGGACTACAAAATGAACTAAGAGGTAGAGGAAAAGCACTAAACATGTTCTGTTGCTAATTAACTGGGATGTCCCATGAAACCATGATCCTACACCTCCAAATCAAGGAACCAAATCCTGTGACATGTTTGATTGGGCATAAGCAAGCTCAGCAACTACTTCCACAAGGTTTTCAAGGACTGATTTTCAGAAGTAGAACACCAAGCCTTTCTTCCAAGGCACCTCTGGGTGGACTTGAACCTCCAATCTTTTGGTTAGCAGCGAGAATATTAACCATTTGCATGGCCAGCGACTTCTTTACTTACGAATTACTACTGTTTACTACTTTGAATTACTAAAGTTAAAGTATTAAGACAGTAAAGAAAAATAGTAGCGATATGCATTTTCTGAGTAAAAAGGACAATATTCATCTAAAAATGAAAACAAGAGAGTCTAAACTTTCACACTGAGGACTAGGAGCATTTCCTTACAAAATACAGGAAGCTATAATGCTGTTGTGACTTCTCAGAGTCCTAAAAATAATCAATGCTCTCCTAAACTCTTTCAGTAGAAAAGTTTAAATATAGAGGTACAAAAAGACCATTATCTAATGGTAGGGGAAACAGCCACTATAGGAGAGAGGACAACATTCTAGATATGACTAAAAGGTAGGAAACAGGAGAAGACAGAGTCTATGGCCAGACAAAAGAAGGAAGTTTTACATACCATGTTATGCAAGTTTTTCCTGATCTGCCTGATAACACCAGGAAAGGTGGGTCGGAGTAACTCTTGTAGACTAGAAGGCCATGAATCATATCTGCTATCAATCTCCAGGTTGTTAATCCACTATGGAAAAAAATAAACAGGATGTGGAACATACCCTCTTTAATTACCAGGTAATGAAATTTGCAATGGTAACAAAAAGATTACATTATTATTTTTTTAATTATGTAAGAAAAAATCACTTTAAAAATCTTATGACAAAGAATTTAGGATACAAAGATCAAAGAGAAAAATGAAGGTCTAAAGGACAAATTACAGAATAGAAGATATATGCAAATTAGCAAAACCAATAAATGACTGGTGTCTGCAATGCACAGAGAAATCTAACAAATTATAAGACAAATAACCCATCAGGAAAATGTGCCAAGAATATGACTGACATCTTTACAGGACAAACCCAAATGGATAATGAACCAAAGAAAAGATGTATACACTCACTAATAACCTAAGAAATATGAACTAAAACCAAATTATTTCATATTCGTGAAACTGACAAAAGTCAAAACATTGGTCAACATGCAAGAATAGACAAAGATGTAGATCAGTGGGAACCTCACCCATTGGTGACTGCACAATCTTTTTGCAAAAATGTAATAAAACAGAAGACACCATGTACTCTAGAGTTCTAGATATCACCCCCACAAAAATTCTTTCTCATATGGAGAAGGAGACATGTGCAAAAGAGCCTTTACAGCACTTTATAACTGCAAAAAAAGTTAGAAACAATGTAAATGTCTATCAAAAAAAGAAACATGAATATACTGTGGTATAATCATGAAAAGAATAATTTCATTTCATTAAATTTTAATAAAATTAAATTAAAAAATGAGTAAATAATGATACATTCAAACAATAGAAAACCACACAATTGTAAGACGCAATGCTTTTTAAGTCTTTGTGCACTGATATGGAATGATTTTAATGATAAATTTAAAGTAGAAAGAAGCAGAAGTATCATAAAGTAAGAAACATTTGTATAAGAAGGGCAGGGTGAGATATAAAGAAAAAAAAACTCATTATCATTGAATCATTTTCATTTCATGTAGCAACCCTGTAAGGCAGAGCAGAACTGCACCACAGGGTTTGTCAGGTTGTAATCCTTATAGAAGGAGCTCTGGTAGCATAGTGGCTAAGGCACGTGACTGCTAACCAGAAGGCTGGCGGTTCAAACCCACCAGCCACTCCTCGGAAGGAAGATGGGGCAATCTACTTCCGTAGTGATACTGCCTTGGAAACCCAAGGAGGGGTCGCTATGAGTCAGGTCTGACTCGATGGCACATAACAACAACAACAACAACAATCTTTATAGAAGCAGACTGCCACTGCCACATCTTTCTCCAGCAGAGCAACTGCTGGGCTCGAACCACCAACCTTGCTGATAGCAGTCAAGAATTTAACCACTGTGCCACCAGGTTCCCAGAGTGGGATACCATGTGTCTATTTGTTTGCTCATAATTATGCTCAGAGTATTTCTGGAAGTATATACTGATAACACTTTGTTGTCTATGGGGAGAAAAACTAGACATTGGCTGACAGACATTTTACTATACAACATTGGGGTAGTTAAGTTTGTGTGTCAATTTGGCTGCACCTGGTTGAGTGGCTGGACAGCTGGATGTAGTTATTCCCCATGATGAGATTGGCAATCAATTCCCTGGTGGAATCTACTGGAACAGCGGGGTACTAATTTAGAGATGTGGGCTGCATCCAGTACATAATAAGAAGTGATGAGAAAGGTCTCCAGCTTTTTGGCACCTTTGAGCAGTGCACATAGCCAACTCGTTGTTCAACAGCCTGCCATGCCCTGCTGATCTTAGGTCTTCTTCTGTTTTTTGAATTAGTGGCCTACTGTATTGGGCAGCACTGGGACTGTGCCTTTTTACCTGTCGACCTTGGGTTTGTCAGTCTCAGCAGCCAGCAGCTGCCTGAGTGAAGAAAAGCCTCCAGCTGCAGTGGCCTAGGGAGCAGGAGGCAATGCTAAAGCCCAAGGTTGAGCAGTTTTCACCCAGGCCCTGGAGCATGGCACTTTGAACTCAGACTTCTAGCCTCCAAAACTATAAGAGAATAAACTCCCATTTGTTCAAGCCATTCCATTTGTGGTATTTCTGTTACAGCAGCAGTAGGTAACAAAAATAGTGTTATATTACTTAAATTTTTTTTTCTTTTTTATTTATTGTGATTTGGGTGAAGATTTACAGAGCAAATTCATTTCCATACAGCAGTTCACATATACTTTGTCTCACATCATTGACTATAGTTTACCACAATGCAGCAGCTCCCCTCCCACTTCCTCCCCATACATACCTCTTCCAAGTGACCATCCCTCCATACTCTCCTGCGACCTGAGCTGTCTCCCTGTGAGTAAGCAGCCTTTCCTTCTCCCATGATTGTTCTCTCCAGGGTGTGTATCTACTTGAGGTAAATGTTTAACTCACATGCCTGTACAT